GCAGATATCCTTGGACTGCTCAGAGTCTTTGCAATCGTAAAAGTGTAGTTCAAGACAAGATGCCTTATATGAAGCAATCTTAACTAACCATACTGTGTTGTTTCAGTTTTTGTACAGGCAAACAAACTGCAGCAGCACATCTTTGCAGTCCACGGGCAGGAAGATAAAATTTATGACTGTTCCCAGTGCCCACAGAAGTTCTTCTTTCAAACAGAGCTTCAGGTATGTTTACGACAGGAGTAAAAGCAAAGCTAAAGCTGTTGATTTCTCTGTGCAACTGTCACCCTTGTGCAGCATTTAGAAAAGGTGCATACCCTTGGTATGGTCTCTTCTGCCCTTAAGCAGCCTCTCAGTCTCCTCCTGCCTCCTTGGGTGCTATCAGGAGAAAGGGGTCTCTGAGCATGGTTGGAATAAATAAATAAGACAAGACAGATATCATGATTCTTTATGAGTATCTCTCTTGACAGTAGCGTTACTACATCCTGACATGTCTACGTCAAACACCTTGTAAATAATTTCTTTTTCTCGATTAATAATTCAGGGACTGATTAACATACAAAGACTAAGCAAATGGTAGCTGCCCCTTCCCCTTCCTCACTGTTGAGTCAGAAGTAAAAGAATTTTCCCTACTGGGGTATGAGAGCAAAGCATGGGTGCAACTCAACACGATGCTTAATTAGAGGCTCCACCAAGGCACTAGCACATTCATAAGTTGCGGGTTCTGCAAAGCAGGCATTACGTACCAGTTTCCCTGGCTGCTGTGGGGGCCACAGCCACAGCAGTTTTAGCCTCCGCAAAGCCGGTGCTTGGCCCGCACCTATTCCTGGCTGCAGCGAGCCTTCCAGAGCGGCTGGACCCTGACCTGGGCACGCTGCTGCAGCCGCTTTTGGGGCCCTGGCCCCAGCGGCCACCCTGGAGCCATGCTGGTGAGGCTGGGGTTTAAATCACACTGATACCTTTGGTGCTAGACTCATGTAGATGCTGAACCTTCCACGGCATGTGTGCCCGATACCTCGTGGGGAATGGACTGCTGGAGCTTGCCCTTCTGAAGAGCTCACAGGGACGTGCCCGCCCTGGCCGTCCTCCTCAGGCGTATCTTACCCGTGCAGCAGGGCCACCAAAATACTGCTGCTATCCCCTGGCAAATGTGGTCTTTTTATAGAATGGTGCCGTATGCCTCATTTAAATCTATTAGCTTTATAAACCATTATTTACTTCAACTTTGGAGGGTTTTTTATTTATCTTGCTGAATTCCCAAGCTGCTGCCTCTTGTGTCGTGCTGTCATGCTGTGGAAAGATGGTTGATCTTTTCACTTTGTTGATTTTATTTTTTTTCTCCCAAGGGAATCTCTTCTTTCCCTTGTTCTAGCAACCTGATTTGCATAAGTGTACAAAAGTTTTAACTATACCTTGTTAATATTTTAATAAAGTCAGCAGATTTGGGAGTTGTGCGTTCTCACTATGAACGTTTTATGAAGGCAACAGTGGCCTGCAAAGCTGGCTCTGATTTTTCTTCCCAATTTGCCTTTAAAGTGGTGTTTGGTCAAAATGCCAGCACAATTAAAATGGGCACACTGGCTTCCTAGGTCACTGCATTAACCTTTAAAATCAGATGGTCAAATAAAGAGAACCTTGTTAAATTATAGTCTTAACAGTGGCCCATTTTTTGCAATTAACAGTTTTAATTACATAGTGTTTCAGTTCTGAAGTGTTGTGCATTGGAAAATTGCTGCAAATAGCAGCTTTAATCAGATAAATTATGATTGTAATTTTCCAGTTTTTATGCAAGACTTGTGTGCATTTAATATTTCTGTGCTCATAATAATTACACGAGTAGTTTTAAATGGTGTTGGCTGAATGAAAATTCAATACTTAGCTGCACAGTTTTAGTCTTTATTTCAGTAGTGACTCAGAAATGTGTGTTCACTTGATGCCAGGGATTTTACTAATCCAAATACCGGAGCCAAGGAGGACACAAAATGTGTGTATAAATCAGTTAGAAATGCTCAAGACTTTTGAACGAATCTGCCTTGGCACAATTATCTCATCGGTTTCTGATGTGTAAGCTGCCTGCTCTAAATTCCTCAACTGTTGGTTATATTTTTGTGGAGTAATGAAGATTTAGTATTATTTTAGTGAACCAGTTGTTCAGCTGCTAGTTAGGGTTAAATCTGCATAAACCTTTCAGTCTCTTAGCTGTGCAATTATTCTTGTGGGCAAATCACCATCCATCAAGGGGTTCCGCGTGATGAATTTGACTTTTCGGTTCTGATCTTGCTTTCCCACTGGCGCAAAACAACTAATGTAAAAAATATGAACCTACACTTTGTTTTACTTCTTTGTATTTTTAAGTGAAACCACTGAAAATACTTTTTAAAAAATTGAACGCTCAACTATTTCAAGAAGAAATTCAGAGTGGGGTGCTTACAGAAAACCAAGAAAAACAAGGAGGGTGGGGAGAATGAGAAGCAGCCTGGGGAAAAGGTAACTTTTAGAGATGTCTTGGAGTGGCATGAATTAGCCCCGCTGATTTGTGAACATGTGTTTAAACAGTTAGGGTAAACACCAAGTAAGCCCAGAAAGGCACATGTGTGCCATGTGATGAGAAACATTGCAAGTATAGATGTACTTTTAGGGCTTGGTGCAAATACTGCTTTGGCAGCATAATGCTCTGGAAGGAATCAAACCTTCTTTTCACTTCTGAACTAGTAGTTGTATTTTAATATAGGTTTATGCTTTGAAGTTTACACCATCTGATGGAGCCATAAAACAAAAGCTTAAGAAAGCTCCAAGGAACTGAGCTTATTTTATAAACAGTGGAAATTCTGGTGTGAATCTGAAGTGATGAGTCAGTGAGGTTACCCTGATGATATTGCTGGAACGAAAGAAAACAGAATGTTATTTGGAAATAAGGAAAGAAAACATGTTAAGATTAAGTATGTGTGGTAACCCCATGTATCCTTAGGGCAGAAGAGGAAAGGCTGGCAGCTCTGCATTTTTCACATCCTTGGTGTAAGATTGACAGCAATGAATATGATGAAAATCTCCTGGAAAAAAGTAAATTTATAGCTAACCTATAGAACACCAAGGCTATGGCCATTCATTCCCCCTACTTTAAGAAACATGCTTACTGAAATAAGTGTAGAGGTGGAGGTTTGGGGGGTTCCTCACACGTAGGGCAGAAGGAACCCTTTCTCTAGGGTTTTTTCTCTAGGTTTCTCTAGAGCCCTGTCTCTAGGACCCGTGTCAGGAGCTGCCGGCCACTGCTGGCATGCCGGCTTCTCCCAGGCAGCTGGAGCCTCAGCGGCACACGGGGCATCCAGACGTGGGAGATGAGCTAGCTCTTTGGCAAGTGAAATTTTGGACTTTGCTATTTAAAACCTAGCAGGGACCCCTGCCAACACTGAAGATGGGTCAGAAATTATGACACATAATGGCTGCTGAGAGTTATATTTGTGGTGTTATTCACAGCTGGGAAATATACCTCCTCAATTGCTTGCATCGAGAATTACATTAAGCAAATTGTGACTGAGCAGTGATTTTCAGAGGAAAGTTAAGCAGGATTTTCGTAGGTACTCGTTTGCCACACTGCTTTTTCCAAGGAGCCATCACATAACCAGTGAAGTATTTAAAGGATTAATTCCTGAGTACTGTTAATCATACCGTTTCCTCCTAAATGATTACAATTGATGAAAACTAAGGCAAGGGATATAATAAACAATGCGCAAATAATCCAGGTACCAAGGGAGCAGGGTACCTGCCAGGTCTTTCCTAGCACAGGTGTTCAGGTGTTTTATTGCCTGCTATGAATAAAGGGCTTTCTTTCCTGTTCAGATTTGGAGATATGTCAAACCACTAAATTAAGGGAGTTTTACCGGAGGAATTTGCTGTCATTTTAAGTGCCCAGTTTCTTTAAATGTACACATATCAAAAGGAGAGTGGCTACTATGGCTCATTGGCTAACACTGTGGTCTGTCTCCCTCCTCATTTCATTTTATGTGAAAAGCTAGCAATTTTCATATATCCATAAACAGGCATGAGCTGCTGCACAGAAATTGCACTCATTATATTAATAATAATTTACCATGAATGTCCTCCAGGGGCTTGATTTGGTCCACATCAAAGTCCTTGGGATTCTTTCTGCTGATTACAGCAGATCAAGCCCTAAGCAGGTTTTCTTTTTCTTAAGTCTGCTTTTAATGTCAGCTCGATGTTAGATGTGTCTCCTATAGAGGGCTGCATCCTGCCCAGGCAAGCGGGGCACCACAGCAAGCCACCACGTAGTCTGATGTGGCCTGATGAGGGATGTTAAGATGCTGCCCTGCACCCATGGTGGCTTCCCGGGGAGTAGGGCAATGAGGAGCAACATCTCCAACTGCTTATGCCAGTGGTTGTTGGGGCCATCCGGGTACAACAGTGTCTCCCAAAGCACGTGGGGAGAATGAGAGCCTCTTGGCTTCTATGTGACGCATCTGCACACAGGCAAGTCTACTGGGCTACATCTAAAGGCTCAGTTTACCGCCAATGGTCAGAGCACTGAAGAAAGATTTAAGCAATTTTGGGTTTGTACCCAGCTATTCAAAATTTGTTAGTGGTTAATGTCTCCAGCTCCTACTTGAAAAATGGACTTTACCCTCTTCCTGGGGGTACAAGAAAGCTCACTTAAATAGGGATAACATTTTTCTTCTGTTCAGCCGTATGTGCATGCAGCACTGAAAAATTTCAGCACTTCTGGGCTCCAGTGTACATACAGTCACTGAGAGAAAAGCAAATCTATGGTATTTTGATGAAGTTGCAGAAAATACTTTTCCTGGGGGGAGTGTGTGGATGGCAGGACAAATGGGACCTGAAATGTGGCTCTATCTCAAGGCAGTACTTTCACTTAACGTAATTTTTGCTGTATTTCAGAACTTATGTGTAACTTAGATGTTAAACACCAGGAGCTTCTTGCTGGAAACAAACCACAGGCTCTTTCTAAGTTTCATATGAAAGTTATTTTTCACACAAAGTTACGTGTAGTATTAATTTGCTGCAAGTAAATTCCATTTTTTCTTTTAAACAGAATTTGTATCTTGGCATTTTGGTTGCTGATAGGCTTTTAAGAGTCTGTTATCCATCTTCCCCACTCCCGCTCCCCCCCTTTTTTTTTTAAATGTTAGTCCTCCTTTAAAATCCTGAAAATGACCTAGTCAGTTATCCTAGCAGATTTGGCTAGCATTTCT